ATAGGCATCCTCAGCCTTGATCTCACACAAACTGTATAGATCACGCCAGGCTGCTGAATATGTTTTACGAATCTGAGCAATTCTTCGAAAGAAGGGCATGGGCTGCTTCTCAGGGTCAGGGAGAGAGGTTACCAGGGTCGCAGCTTGGGAGGGGTTGAAAGTAACATACATCGGGGGGAGCCCCTTCCACTGTGGATAAGGCATGGATGTGGGTGGCCGGGGTGACCTTTCTCTGGGAAATCCTATTATCCGAAGGACGGAATGGGCTGAGCCCCGGCACATTGTCATCCTCGGGGTGAACCGGGAATGGGAGACCATAATAGCTGGCAACATCTGGTGAAATGGGGGCTTGAGCGGCAGGAGCATCGGAGCCGGGAGAACTGACAGCGATGGCCTGGGGAGTGATTAACTGGGAGGTAGTGGGATGGAAGCCTGAAGCTGCAGGAGAAACACCTACAGCATGAGTTTGTCCCGACGTGGTAGACTCATTCGAGCCAACTACCATGATCGGATAACTAGGAGTCGCCAGGAGGGAGGTGGAGACGGGGGCTGATACGGATGGGCTGAGTAGGCTGAGGTAGATGACTGGAGAGGGCAGAAATGAGTGACGAAAGAGCAATAGATGGAGGGACAGCGGGGTTGGGGACGGGAAGGGGAGGAGAGTCTGGAACTGAGACAGAAGGGGTGATGGAAACAGGAGAGGGAGGCGCAGGAGTAGAGGGAGTAGCACTGGAAGCAGAAAGGGTGGAAATGAGTGATGAAAGATCAAAGAAGGGAGGGACAACAGGAGTGGAGGTGGGAAGGGGAGAGGAAGCAGGAACAGGTGCGGAAGGGGTGGTAGGGAGGAGTAGGAGCAGAGGGAGTAAAAGAAAGGGCAGAGATGAGCGATGAAAGATCAAAGGAGGGAGGGACAACAGGGTAGGAGGCGGGAAGGGGAGAGGAATCAGGAACAAGGATGGAAGGAATGGTAGGGAGAGGAGAGGGAGAAGTAGGAGCAGAGGGAATAGCAAGGGAAGAGAAAGATACGGCAGAGGGAGATGCAACGGGGGAACGACGGGTAAAGGCGGGAGGGGAACAGGGATAGGAGGACTGACAGGGAGAGGTGACAGGGGAAGCAACGGGTAAAGATGGGAGGGGGGCAGGAACAGGAGGAATGACAGAGGGAGATGCAAGAGGGGTAATATAAGAGGGCGTAACGGAGGAAGGTAGCGGAGGAATGGGATCAGAAGCGACAAGGGAAGGAGGAGGAGGGACGGGTCCAGAGGGAAGTGGAAGAGGAGCTGGGATAATGGAGATGAATCATCATTACAAACATTCCTATGATATACATAAATCGTCTGCCCTTCAAAATCTAATTCTTCCTCTGATCAACCCTCCCGCTTGAGTCCCTTTGCTACATGATACCAAGCCTCTACAGCTTTCGTTAACCCATTATCCAACAATAAACCCTCTTTATCAATGAGTAATTTCCTCCAGAACTCTGGCTGTAATCTACCACTGGGTGACATTTGGAAACCACAAATCTTTGCTATCTTCTTAATTTTTAACATAGCCTCTTCTCCTGCTCTCTCCTTAACAATATCACAAGCTAAATAGCCTTTAGAAGGTCTGGTGTGTTCTTGTCCCATTTTTACCAAACAAGGCTTCCCACGTAAGAGGGACAGAGAGAGAGAGAAGAAAAAGAAGGAATGTCTACAGTGCTCGACTGCCACGAGGAATTGATTCCCGTGCGTCTTCCCGAAATGTAGACTAGTCACAGGATCCGCCCACCTGAGATGGTGGCCATGGGTCTGAGCGGGCGAGCGTGGGTGACTAACACAGCTCTGTGCAACAAGCACAGAAGAAGTAGAGAATCAGGGAAAAGGTGAACGTGGAGAGACTAATCAAAAGACATTTACAAGAGTCGTCACAGACGTAGAGATGTGCACATAATCCGGATTCAAGGATGAGCCACACAACACACACACACACAGCTAGGGTACCCACACTATAACTAAAACTGAGTATAAACCATAAAATGATGAAGAACAGTAGCACAACAAGCATAATAACGACTATACAGCAAATAAAACCCTGTTCTACTTTGAACAGTACAGTAAAACTCCCAGCCTTTCTCAACGAGGATGTATTCCCTGCCCGCTAGGCAGTCAAGCTATAATAAAACCCAAGCCTTACTCAAGGCATTTCCCAGCCTTTCTCTAGGCGGTTCCCAGCCCTTCACCGGGCGGACAATTTTCCCAGCCTTTCTATAGGCGGTTCCCAGCCCTTCACTGGGCGGATGTATTCCCTGCGCGCTAGGCAGTCAAGCTATAATGATAATAAAACATAAACCACACACCAGCTGTCTCACACACATACATACACTCAGGAGGCAGATAGACAATTGACAGGTTAGTTTTAAAAGGCACCGGATAAGAGATTACCTGTCTTGTAGCCTTCTGGAAGCCGAAAGTGGACACGGAGACAGACCGGCACAAAACAGGAGAATACAGGCAAACCGCTGTATTTAGGAGGTGATTACGCTCCGATTGTCCCACTTTCCGGGGGTCCGCTACGGTCCCGTTTTTCCGCCCGTCCGAACCGACGAAATCCGGTGGCCCCACGTTGGGCGCCAAATGATGTGGAATCAATCAATCAATTGATTATCTTGTGTATCTTCCCCCGGCCAAATTAAAGAAACCATGTGTACATGCTCCTGAAGTAATTCACACCAGACACAGGTTTCGGGTTAATGAAAAACGTGAGGAATGTTTATTCAGAGGGGCTGGCATACCCCTTATAAAGCCCAAATTTACATCCCAAATACCCCAAAATTACATCATATGCATTGTCAGAGATAATATGGAATAAAACATCAATAATTGGTTAGGTGTTAAGTGGTTCATTTATTGCTCTTCCTACCGGGTCACTGGTATCTTGGAGGTCTCCCCCAGATTCCAGCGCCATCTTGTTAGTGAGGGCGTTAGTCGATGTCAAAGGGAAACTCCCTAGCGGCCATCTTAGGTAAATCACATATATAATTGAATAATACTGATAGTAGGTATGCTGAGTAAATAGGCATTTTACTAACATAAATTGGGTTAATATTTTTGTCCACAACAATATGTAATAGGGTTGATGTTCCAGGAGGGATGAGCCAAATGGTCAGGGCCGTCTTTAACACGGGGCAAACGGGGCAGCTGCCCCGGGCCCAGTTGCTCCTGAGGGGCCACAGAGCAGCTGCCTCGTGGGCCCCGCGATTTGAGCAGCTCCCATGGACCTGGTGGGGCGGCTGCACAGAGCCACACCAGCCGCACTGTAAGGAGGCCCCCGGGTGACCCATGCACTAAGGGCCACCCGGTGGGCATGTGTCAGCAGGGGCCCGGTCGGGCGCTGTGACACTTAAACAGCGCGACCGGGCCCCTTCCTGTTTGGCAGCCGGCTGGGAGGAAGTGAGTGTCGCGCGTCACTTCCTCCCACCGGAGATTACAACCGCGCGGGAGGAGAAAGGCAGGGAGGAGGGGAGTTCCAGAGGAGAACTCCCATCTGCCTCAGCCTGCCACTGGACCAGGGAAACCACCCTCCAGAAAAAGGTAAGAATCTGGAGGGTGGCTAAATGTATGTCTGTGTGTGTGTGTGTGTGTGTGTGTCTATGTCTGTCTGTGTGTGTGTGTCAGTATGTGTGTATGTATGTCTGTGAGTGTCAGTATGTCTCTGTGTGTCTATGTCTGTCTGTGTGTGTGTGTATGTCAGTATGTGTGTATGTATGTCTGTGAGTGTCAGTATGTCTCTGTGTGTCTATGTCTGTCTGTCTGTGTCAGTATGTGTGTATGTATGTCTGAGTGTCAGTATGTCTATGTCTGTCTGTGTGTGTGTGTATGTCAGTATGTGTGTATGTATGTCTGTGAGTGTCAGTATGTCTCTTTGTGTCTATGTCTGTCTGTGTGTGTGTATGTCAGTATGTCTGTGTGTCACTAAGTCTGTGTGTGTGTCTATGTCTGTCTGTGTGTGTGTCTATGTCTGTGTGTATGTCTCTATGTGTGTGTGTGTGTATGTCAGTATGTCTGTGTATGTATGTGTACGTCTGTGTGTGTCTGTATATGTCAGTATGCCTGTGTGTGTGTTTGTCAGTATGTCTGTGTGTGTGTCAGTATGTCTGTGTGTGTGTCTGTGTGTGTCAGTATGTCTGTGTGTGTCAGTATGTCTGTGTGTTTGTCAGTATGTCTGCCTGTGTGTCTGTGTCAGAATGCCTGTGTGTGTGTGTCAATAGGTCTGTCAGTGTATGCGTCTGTGTGTGTCAGTATATTTGTCAGTTTATGTGTCTGTGTATTCATGAATGTGTGTCTGTGTGTGTGTCAGTATGTCTGAATGTGTGTCAATATGTCTGCCAGTATATATTTGTGTCAGTGTATGTGTATGTCAGTATGTATCTGAGAATGTTTTAATATGTCTGTCTGTGTGCGTATGTGTCAGTATGTCTGTCAGTGTGATTGCGGGTTGGGTGTAATTAGGGGGTTGGGGGGGAAGGTGCAGGGCCCAGGAGGCCCAAGAAAATGCATTGCCCAGGGTCCTAATCATATTATAGACGGCCCTGCAAATGGTAAATGATTTAGGTAAACTAGATAAAATGGGAATGCAAAAACAAAGGAAACAGCGCTAAAATAAACCGATACTATAAATCTGAATATATAGATATTTTATTACAGCCATCAAAGTAATGAAGTCCTATCTTAAGGACTCTATGACTCTTCTGCGTTTTTTTAAAATGATTTTACATGGTATTCAGATTACATTTTAGTTACCTGTGATGTACAATCATTATACATGATTATCTCTCACCAGAAAGGTTGTAAAGCAGTTTTTTTTTATTCTTTATTTTCGTTATGCAATTGCTTATTACAAGTGATGAAGATGCCACAACAGCTCTCTCAGGTAGTCAAGCATATAACATAGATGAACAGTTGGCATTAAAAGACAGCGCACAGGTTTTTTATAAGGTTAATTTTACATGTTACAACAATCCTGCTTGATCTATCGTTGTGTTGCCATAGGTCCCCCTAAGGTGATAAGTTACGTGTAGTTATCTTGCTGTTACATAGCATGCTCAGCTCTAATTGGTGTACTATGGTCGCTTATTTCGTGTAAGTGGGTCCTAGTGGTGGCCCTGGCGACACAGGTTTGTACCACACTACTCGCTAATGTGTCCCTAGTCCAGGGCATTGTGGCTGGGTGTGTTGTGCGTGAACTTAGGTCTCTCTATCCTTAAGTTGTCCTGTGTGCCTTGTAGATGATTGTACGATGTGTGTGTGGTCCTTGACCCCTAACCTTGGCAGTGGCTTTTGTGGTTATTGTGGTGCCCGGTAATGGTGTTATCAGTATGTGGGTCATTGCCTGTGAGGTGGCCCTTTAACTTAAGGAAGTGTTATATGGGTGTGTGCCCTGCTGGGTTCCCTAATTGGTGCTTAACCATTGGTATATAAGTAAACGTAGAACAGTTTTTTTCAATTTTAAAAGAAGGTAAATCTATCCCAGACAACCTAATTGATTTTATTATACAAGGTATTAAATTAATTTTAAACAACAACTATTTTTGGTTTTTAGATTCATTTTACATTCAAAAGCAGGGGAATGCTATGGGGACCAGATTTTCCCTCAGCTATGCAAACCTCTTCATGACAGAGTGGGAAACTGAAGCCTTTTGGGGTGAACATGCCTGGCGGGCAAATCTGGTCTCGTACTTTCGATATATAGATGACCTCTTTTTTATCTGGAAAGGTACAGAAAATTCCTTAATACAATTCTTAAATCATCTAAATAACAATAGACACAGTATTATTTTAACCTCAGAACACAGTAGCAATAGTATTAACTTTTTAGATTTAGAATATTTTTTTTTTAAAGAAGGCACCATCCATACAAAAACTTATTTTAAACAAGTCTGCACAAACACGATGATTGACAAATCAAGTTGCCGTTTTAAACCCTGGTTGGATGACGTTCCTAAAAGCCAATTTCTATACCTCTGCAGAAACCCAGCATAGTTTTCGGAGGTGCTCCAAATTTTAAAACAATCCTTACCAAAAATTACACCAAAGACCGCATAAACAAAAATGTCACATTTTTATCCAATTCTAAAGGCTTTTTAAAATGTAATACTTGTATAGTAGACATGTGCAATTCGTTTCAGTCCGAATGTGATTTCGGACGCATTTAGGACAAATTTCTGGAAATTCGGACATTTGGGTACTTCCGAATGTCCGAAAAAATTAATTACCGAATTGCCCAATTGTCGAAGTCCCGAAATTACCGAAGTGTCGAAGCACAGTATTGCCTAAGAACTAATATACTTACCCAGTGGAAAAATGAAGAATGTTACATTGTATACAATTTTAAATAAAACGTATACAAACAGAGCCAGGATTCAGCTGTAAGCATTTGCAACACTTACAACAATCAACTAACATACATTCATATAAAATGTAAATTACATAGCCAGTCAATGTAATGACAGGAATGAATAAGTGGATAACTCCCTAATTCCCACGGTATTAGGGAGCTATCTACTAAAAGGCTGAAAAACTTAAATTGGTCTTTCAGCCAAATTTACTAATACTAAGTAAAAATTACTTAGTATTAGTAAATTATGCCCCTACACACTATACCGCGAGTAGGGGCATGTCTATTAAACAGTGAGCAGCCTGTGGCCCCTGGCCCCCACCCCTGAGCGGTGGGTGGGGGCCCTAAATTAGAATAAGGGGAGGGGACCTAATGTCCGCTCAGGGGTGGTGGCCAGGGGGGAGGACATTAGGTCCCCCCCTTATTCTAATTTAGGGCCCCCACCCACCACTCAGGGGTGGGGGCCAGGGGGAGGACATTAGGTCCTCCCATTATTAGTATTTAGGGCCCCCACTGCTCAGGGGTGGCAGCCTGGGGGGAGGACAAAAGGTCCCCCCCATCATTTTACTTTAGGGCCCCAACCCGCCACTTGGGGGTGGTGGCCGGGGTGGCAATAGGTCCCCCCTTTAGTTTAAAAGCCCCTGCTCACACAAAACAAAAAAATCATATCCTGTAAAGATCTTGTGAGTTGTTAGAAAAATGTTATATATTTACTTGAATGTCCGTGTGGCTTACAATATGTGGGCATGACGTTGAGTTGTTTAAAAACTAGACTGGCGGAACATTGCCACAATATTATAAAAGGCTATCCAAATCACTCCGTATCAAAACATTTTTTAATACATGAAAAAAAAACTAAATACCTAAAATGTATAGGGATACAAAGATGCAAACTCCCATGGAGAGGTGGTGATATCAAAAAGATTTTAGGTTAGAAAGAAATGTACTGGGTTTTCCTCTTAAAAACCCTTAACCCAGAAGGGTTAAATGAAGATTTTGACCTTTTTAATTTTTTATAACGTCTTATAAGCAAAAATTTATTTAATCTTCATACAAGCAATAAGCCTTTTTATAAGGAACCTTTATAAGAATCATTGTAGCAATTTGTCTTCTTCTGTTTATCTAATTTTATATTTATTTTATTTCTCTTATTTATGCTTTATGTATAATGTATGTATATATAATTGTATCACATAGAAGATATTTAAATTCCCCTCACTAGATCACTTTCTCCCTTAACTTTTAATTTGTTATTTATAATATTCTCTGGGTTTCATTCTGCCTAGATAGACAGATACTCTGTGTCCTATTCACAAATATTTCCCCTTCCATGGACTTATTCCATGCCCCACTATGGAATCCCTCCCTTCAGTCTTCACAGCACGATCTGCTGCATCCTATTCCCCTGCTTGTGGTCGCTAACCAAGCCCAATGGCCGAAAACCAAGCCCCCTCACTCTGTCACACGTAGCTAAATTATTTTACACCTCCCCTCCAGCCCGGCCCATCTGGTGACAAATCACACCCCCTAACTCAACTACATTTCCCAATACACCTAGAGGTATGTCACGAGGTACGGCCCGATTTCAAATATGGCTGCCGATCACGTGACCACCGAAAATAAAGTTTTTAACACATTTCTAACGTTTGTTTTAATGACAGATTTTAGGGATAAATGTCCTGTATTGTATTCTTTGTATATGCATAATGTTTCTTGTAATTTAAAAATGTAAATTGTCTTCAATGACGTCAGTTGGGCGCCAAATCTTTAACTGTTTAAAAATCAGTACCCCTGTATAAACCCCACCCTACCAAGCATGTCTTTTTTGTCTCCATTTGAGAACGCCCTCATAGGTGAAATGCGTTGTGGATATTTTGTAATTTTATTCTGTATTCCAATACAGGTATTTTTACTTTTAACATACTTTGATTGTGCCATTTTACCTTTTATATATATTTTTATTCTTACTATTGCTGCTTGGTGTGCTGATTATACTTTTTCCTGCTGAGTATTACTCCAAAGAAATCTTAGGTGGGGATTATATTCACCTTCTGTACTAGACGTATCGCACCATTATCCTCTCTCCACATACGGATCCAAAGAAGCCATCTCCATTTGGTCCACACAGAGAATATTCCCCTACACAGGCCCTTGGCTGTCCATCTGGCATAATTAAGGACTTTTGTTTTGGTATCTCTCTTTTTGTAGGTTTTACCACCATAAGATTTTAAGATTTCCCACCATATTTTAAACTAGAAAAATGGTCAGAGCTGTGGCAACTGACATTTAATGTGGATAAGTGTAAGATAATGCATCTTGGACGTAAAAATTCAAGGGTAGAGTACAGAATATTTGATACAATCCTAAATTCAACATCTGATGAAAGGGATTTAGGGGTGATTATTTCTGATGACTTAAAGGACAATGTAATAGAGCAGCAGAAAATGCTAGCAGAATGCTTGGTTGTATAGGGAGAGGTATTAGCAGTAGTAAGAGCAGGGCCGCCATCAGGGGGTGACAACCATAATGGCTGTCACAGGCCCGGCGGTCCCCACTTTCCCTCTCTGCACACACTATCTATCTATGTGTGCAGCCGCGGGCCCAGGGGCCCAGCACACTGCGTCTTCTCTTCTGATAACTCTCGCAATACCCGCAGCCTTCTGAGCGTTGCCATGGCAATGTTCCGCAGGTCTCGCAAGAATTATTAGAAGAGAAGAAGCTGTGTGCTGGGCCCCCTCTGCGGTAACAGGGAGCCGGGGGCCCTCCATGCCACAGGACCACCAGGGATGGAATCTCCCCCCTCCCTGGACACCCCCTCCCAGGTAAGAAGCAGGGAGGGGGGAGAAACATTTAATTAATTTAATAGGATATGTATGTGAAATTAATTTGAAAATGCCCCTTCCTCCCCCCCATTCCCCCAGATTGCACATTTACACACACACTGCATACACTAACACAACACACACACTGCATACACTAGCACACACACTGCATACACCAACACAACACACACACTGCATACACCAACACAACACACACACACACTACTAACACAACACACTCACTGCATACACCAATACAATACACACACTGCATACACCAGCACACACACTGCATACACTAATACAACACACACTCTGCATTCATTACACACTGACACACACTCTGTATTCACTACACTGACACACACTCTGCATTCACTACACACTAACACACACTCTGCATTCACTACACACTAACACACACTCTGCATTCATTACACACTAACATACACTCTGCATTCACTACACATTAACACACTCTCTGCATTCACTACAATAACACACACTCTGCATTAACTGTACACACAGCATCCACTACACAAACATCCTGTATTCACAGTACACACTACATCCACCACAAATTGAAACACTCTGCATTCACTATACACAGACACTGCATCCACTACAGACACTGCATCCACTAAACACATTTCATCTAGTACACACACATTACATAACTGTACACACACTACATCCACTACTCAAACACACTCTGCGTTCACTATACACACTGCATCTGCTACACAAACACACACTCTGCATTCACTGCACAAACAGTATCTAATACACACAAACACTACATCCATTACACACATTCTAATTCACTTTCAGTCCTGCATCATTGTCAGTGGACTAGGTAGGGCGTGGGCGGGCCCGGGGGGAGAGGGTACGGGGAGGTGGGCCCAGACCTTGTGCTTTGTCAGGGGCCCCAAAATTTTTGATGGCGGCCCTGAGTAAGAGGGAAGTGGTCATGCCATTTTACAGAACACTGGTGAGACCTCACTTGGAGTATTGTACA